ATAAGTTTTTTTTTTTTTTTAATTTATAGAAAAGGAAACAAAAAAATACATGGAGATAAGAAAGGGTAGAAATAATACAAAATTACAGAAAAACAAACGGCAAGAAATCGCTGGTTGATAAGTTACATATTGTCATCTTAGAAATAGCTGTTCACGTTACAAAAGTAAAGTATTTAGAATGACATTCAAAAAGTGACACTACAAACAGTTCTGCTCAATGATCGAACAAAAACTCAGTAATATGGTTATCAGTGCTACACACTTAGTTTTGAGTGTAGACAAATGAGTGGGGGAAGGATTCTGGAGATTTTGCAAGTCATGGCAAGAGGGTAGATTTTATTTCATTAGAGATCCATCAAAGGATTTTAGCAGGGAAATGCTTAAAGTACATGATCACTTGTGAAATCTTAAAAAACAGCCATAGTATTAGCAAGGGCTTGGCTTGGAACCCAGTGAGGTCACAGGGAGGAGGGCTCCTCTGAGCTATGGGACAGAGAGTGGGGTCTTTCAAATTAACTGAGCATAGAACTGAAGGACCAGATTTTAGGAATATTTTGAACATTTTGGGAATAAGCAAAGGTTAGAAAATCCAAGTTTGATCATCAGCTCTACTTCCTGCTAGCTGGCTAATTGATATTGGATGAGACAGTCTATCCAAGATTAAGTTTTCCTGAGGTCTAAAATACAAGTGCAATGATAAGATTTCACAGATGGGTATCTGTGTGGTGGCCAGGAGAACGTGTCTCACAGGCACCAGCTAGAGAAAGCTTAGGAGACCAAGGGCCTTGGTCACCAAGTCCTGAGTCCATATCTATAGCTGTGCTAAGATCTGGATTCTTATTCTCAGACAGCATCTGAGCTGGCAGGGCACGGGAAAGGTTGTGATGGCGATTGAGGATTTCCTGGACATGAACTGGGGCTTGCAGACTGCCTGGCACCCAAAATAGTTCTACCTGACCTTCTTTCCTGTCCTTCACTTGAAGAGGTGCTCTCCACATCTCCCAGCCTCACTTGGATCTCTACTCATGGTTTCTCACAAGTGGCATCTCTAATAAATTTGTACACAGTCCCATTCTGGCTTGTGCCTCTTGGAAAATCTAGACTAATCCAGACTGATACAGTGGTTTTTAAACTCTAAAACTTTACTTACAGTGCCCAAATACCTATCAACTAATGAATGAATAAAGAAAGGTGGCATAGTCATAAAGTGGATAGTATTTACTCATAGAAGGGCAGAGAAGCAATGACATTAGCTACATCTGGGTGAGCCTGGAAAACACACATCTGTGTAAAGTGAAAGAAGTCATGCATGAGTGGGCCCTGAGGTGAGGTTCTGTGTATAGGAAACATTGAGAATAGGAAAATCTGTGCAGGGTAAAAGAATAATGATTGGCAGGGCCTGGGGGAGTGGGACTTGGTGCATCTGCCTTGTGGCTATGGAGTTTATTTTAAGGACTGGCAATTTATTTTCGTTCTAGAACTAGAGAGTTGTGGTGGTGGTACGACATTATAAATATGCTGAATGTCACTAGTTTGTATGACCCTCACAGCCCCCCAATGAAACAGACGACGCTCTTGTGGGTAACAGGTAACTGCCGCTTTTATTGACGCAGGCTCTGGCTTATATACTCGGCCGTGACCAATCACAGGCTGCCACAAGGAGGCAGGGTTGGGATGGAACGCGGGCTCTGGCCAATATACCCAGCTGTGGTCAATCAGGGGTTGCCACAGAGTCAGCACAGGGCGAATACGGAGTGAGCATGAGGTGCGCACAGGGTGGCTAATTTGGAGAGGGACGTCGCGCATTGTGGAAGCTGACGTGGTCCTTAGTCCCGGGCGGGGTGTGTTGAGCGCCTGTGCCCGACATCTCCCTTTTCTTTATAACTGACACAGGGTCTCCAGAGGTCAGTGCCCCTCGTGAGGTGTCACGCTGCAGTCATGACAGTGCCTCACTACTCGTTGGTGCTCTTTTGGAGGGGGCGGGAGTATTGTTTTATGAGCCCAACCCGCATGCTCATCGACTTGGAGACCGGGGTGTCTCCTGGCCAAGGACGACACCCCCTGAGATGCTTTGCTCCACACCTGCGTCACAGCATGGCAAGCCATGCTGCCGGGCTTTGACTGGATTCCACGGCCAGCAATGCTTGTTTCATAACTACTTTGTCCCTATTCCTTTGTCTGCAAATCCGACAGAGCAGAAGTAGACTGCCGAATGCGGCAAGTGTAGCCATGGCAGCCAGAGCCCCTATTCCTGCCTATTTCTTTTATTGCGCACGAGCTGGATCACAGGAAACTCGTCTGGGTCTGCCATAACTGGAACCAGTACAAACTGGGGTACCTGCATAACGACAGCTGAAAGCGTACTGTTATCCCAACATTGTGACACATAACAGGTTGCGGTGGAGCAATTTAGAAAAATCATATTTGTGGTGGCTTCAAACAACAGAAAAAGAATTCCCTGATAGGGCCCAAGATCTCTAACACTTGCAGGGCATTGACGACATAATGTGAGTCTGAGAGCAGATTGAAAGGCTGTGGGTACTGTTTAAACACTTCTATGATGATTTTTAGTTCTGTTAGTTGAGGTTGATCAAAGCCTGTTTTTGACCCATCAGTGAATATGGTAAGTGCGTGAGGAATGGGTTTTGATGATGTGAGCTTTCTGCTGCAAAGTCAAGATCTCTCCCTAATTTATCCCAGCTGGGGATGGTAACGGACCCCGTGGGACCAAACCAAGGTGCTACCTTGTCGACCTGATCAAGGAAGTTTTGAATTTGTTTTCATTTCATTTTTAATCCCTTTTCTCTCAGTAAGTCGCTTAAAGCGACTAACAGCGGCTGAGTAGCGGTGTTACCCATGTTAAGGGGAATTTCAAGAGTTTCTTTTTATTTCTTTTTGTTTCCCCCTTTTTTTCCCTTTTTTTGGGGGACAACTTAATCCCCGCGCCCCTTTACGGTGTCCCCGTAGCCTGCCTCTTTACGGCACCGGGAACTCTCTTTACGAGTTCCTCAACCCTTGTGATGCGTCCGCCCAAGGTTGCCCGATAGCCCCCGCTATCCGGCCCGGCAGCCCCCGCTGCCTGTTTTGTAGCCCCCGCTACCAACGTTGAGCAGTTTAACCTGTCAGCCCCTGCCCGCTGCGTAGCCCCTGCTATCGGCGCTTGACGGTTTTACCTGTTATCGTCTCCGTTCTGTCGGAGAGAGGGTCTCAGCGTCCCCATACGGGCCACCAGTTGACTGGCGCAGCCCCCCAATGAGACAGAGGACGCTCTTGTGGGTAACAGGTAACTGCCGCTTTATTGACGCGGGCTCTGGCTTATATACTCGTCCGTGACCAATCACAGGCTGCCACAAGGAGGCAGGGTTGGGATGGAACGCGGGCTCTGGCCAATATACCCAGCTGTGGTCAATCAGGGGTTGCCACAGAGTCAGCACAGGGCGAATACGGAGTGAGCATGAGGTGCACACGGGGTGGCTAATTTGGAGAGGGACGTAGCGCATTGCGGAAGCTGACGTGGTCCTTAGTCCTGGGCGGGGTGTGTTGAGCGCCAGCGTCCGACATTTGTATACTCCCAAATGGGTAAAATGGTGAATTTGATGTTATGTGTCTATGACAACAATAAGTCCTTATGTAGATATAAGCTTGTTATTACAAAAACAGACACTGTGCTTCTGCGTGTGGTCACCTCCAACCTTCCCTGTTTCTTCCTTTCTCTCTCCTCAATGGTCCGTCCAATTTCTCCTGAAATGTCCAGGTACACAGGACACCTTGCAATCCTCAGCACGTCCTGGCCTCCACTTGCCCTCTCTCTTTCCTGAAATTATCTCCTGACCCTGTGTGACACCTTTTCTGGTCACTTCCTTTCAAACGTTGGTGTCCGCAGGGTGTTGCCCATGGCTTCTCATTGTCAGTCCACTTTCAAGAGTTGTGATGGCTTCCAAAAGCAGAAGCAGCTTCTATTCCTGCCCCAAGTTCTAGACCCGTAGAACTCCAGTCTCCCTGGGCTTCGTCATCCCAGCATATCTGGGACAGAATTCACTAGGGCCTCCTTCTGGATTCCTTACCTCAGGAAATGTCACCATCGAATGTCTAGTTCTAAACCAAGGAGCCCCTGACTCCACTTTTGACTTCTTTCTCCCTCTCAATGCCTGGAGGTACCCAGAAAAAGGCCTGCCAGTGTTATTACTTGCATGTGTTTAAAATCCACACCCCACCATCCCATTTCTAGCTTCCCTGAAGGCCCTCTCCAGTGGCTATCTGGACCACTGTGCTAGCTTTCTGGTGGTCCTCACACCTTCCTTGCTTCCTCCTGCCCAAATATCCTCTTGGGCACTGCACAAGTGACTGTGCTGACGTTGAAGTCTGATTGCACTACCCCTCAGCTCATCATCCTCCAGTGCACCCTCCCTGCCAATCCCAGAGCTGGGCCTCATGTCCCAAAGGGGTCATGAGCTTGGCTCTTGCCTGTCCAGCAAGAATTGCCCTTCCCTATGGTCCACAGGTCTCAACCCTGGACTTCAGTCTGTGGATGCTGTCTGAGTTCCTCCTTTCAAGGATTCTGACCTGCAATGGGCCCCACGCATTTGGGCCCCAGGTTTGTCTTTAAAGTTTTCAGATGCTGCTAAGTTGAATCCAAGGCGAACCTAGCCCTCTGTGCTGAGGTAAAGAAATACCAGGTCCCCAAGTTGGGAAGTGGAAGAAACCAGTGTAATTCCCATTGCATCTCTCCCCCTTTCCAGTTGTTTTCAGGAAGGCTCACCATGCAGCCAGCCTCTTGGAAACTTCGAGTGGCAGAACAAAGCAGGCTCCTTCACCTCCTTCCCTCTTGCTGCTGGAGAGAGGAGGTCTGCAGGCTGAGCTGCATTGCTGAGCAGACGGGTTGCAGGCTCATGAGAACCAGTCAGCTGAGAGTGGAGGGGGAAGAGGATGGCTCCTGAAACAGTGTTCTTCCTGCCTTTCCATTCCTGTCCATCCAGTTTCCGTTGGTTTGCTAGGGTTGCTGTGTCTATAGTCAAATATCCCCCACACTGGGTGAGTTTAATAACAGAACTCCACTTAGTGTTTCCCAGTTCTGGAGACCAGAAGCCTGAGATCAAGGCTTGGCTCCTTCTGAGGTCTGTGAAGAGTGATCCTTCTGTGTCTCCCCTCAGCTCCTGAGAGTTTGTGGGTGATCCTCAGCAACCTGGCCTTGCGAGTCTATCAATCTATGCTTCACCTGGTATCTCTGCATGCAGGTCTGTGGCTCCATTTTGCATTTTTATAATGACTTCATGGGTTGGAGGCATAGCCTGCTCCAGTATTATGTTATCATAACTAATTATATATCATAACTAATGGAGGCAGAGGCCTCCATTTCAGGTACTGGGAATTAGGACTCCAACTCTTGAGTTTGGGTTTGGGGTATACAATTCAGCCCATAACCCAGCAAGAGATGGGCTTATCTGATGGACAGAGCCACTATACCTTCAAGACCAGCATGAGGTGAGTCCTCTAATCTCTGTTCAAAACCATTCCAACCCAAGAAGAGAAAGGCCCCAGTGAGCACATCTGTAGTGAAGTCCCAAACTCCTCTTCCTCCCGAGTCCTGAAACTAACTTAATTTTCTTTAACTGCTCCCATTCTGTTTACATCTCATTTCCAGTTGCCAGTTGGTATATTCTCATTGATAATGACCAATGAGACTAAATACACCATTAATAGATGTGATATTTCATTGTTCAAGTCTGACTGAGAAGAATATCTGGAGGAAATTAAAGAACTGGTGATTCAGTGAAGGTTAAAACAGCACTCAGAATGTGACACCAGAAGAGTCTGTGGAGGCTCTGAGGGGCAGCGCTCTGATTTTGTGCTTTTTCCTGAATGTGAAAAATTTTCTCTTGCCGCATCCTAATGCTGTGTTTTCCAACCTTAGCATTGCTGTCTTTCTAGGCCGAACAGCTTTTTTTCTTTTTTTCTGGGATCTACCCTGTGTACTTAGCAGCAGCCTGCCCTCTTCACACTGGAAGGCAGTGTGTTTCAGGGCATTGCCAAATGTCCCCCAGGGGATGAAATCACCCCCAGTTGGGAACCAGTGTACTGAAGTATATGCAAAAGTACTTTGGAACTCTACAGTGCAATGCAGATGTGTGGAATTAGCTCCTGTATTACTTCCAAAGGGGAGCGTTTTGTGGACATGGCAAAATAGGGTCAGTTATTTAATGGCTGAGTCAGATCACAGCGCAGATCCGTCCTAGCCTGATGATCCTGGGATTACACTACAACTGCCTCAGGCTCATATTCCAAATGGCTTTAACGATTGCTTTGGCTAGGAAAGGGTGCTGTCCCTGTCACCACTAGAGGACAGAGCTGAGAGGGAGAGAGGAGAGCTGTTCCTGTGCAGATGGAGAGCCCTCACTGCCTTGTGTGTGAATGCTACGGGGCTTGTTTGCACACGGCCCTGTAAGTACACTGAGTGTGCTTGCTTGTGAAGGAGACCTGTGTGGATCTTTTCTAGTGAGTGTCTATTTCAGGTCAGGTTGCCTTCCCTAGGACTCACACAAATATGGAGGCTGGATTCCTGCGTTTGAGCGGCATGGAATACAATGTGTGAATGAAATCCTGCCCTCACCCAGCCCCCCAGTCCTGCCCATGGCCACAAGCGCTAATGCTAATCACATTCTGCTGCCAACTGTGGGAGGCTTAGTTAATCTAATTAAACGAGGCAGGGCCTCCTGAGTTCCTGGTGCTGCTCCCCCTTCTCCATCAAGCAATGACTTTAATGGCCCAACAAAGGGCTCAGCCTAGTGCACCGAGAATTGGAGATAATGTCCTGTGCCAGGTTAACTGCACTCTCCTGACAGCGGCGCCGATGCCATCTGCCCATTTATTGACAGCCTTGTCAGCAAAAATCTGCAGTCTGAGGTGGGCGGGCAGCCAGTGCCTCTTCACTGTCTCCCAGCGTCACGGGAACAGATGTGGTGCCTCAAGCCTGGAGCTGCTGCTGGCAAATTGCTGCATGCTCGTGTTCTTTATCCTAGGGTGGAGGGTGAGCAGCAATGGAGACATGTTCTCCAAGAAGGAATTTGTATTCCTTTCCAGGCTCTCTGCCGATTAATAAAAATAATAATAAGGTATTTAAAACTGACTTTTAAAAATTGTGAAATAATCAGCTTATTGTTTAATACTGAGAAAAAAATCCAAACCATGCAAGTATTTGAGGGACAAAATCCCAAGTTACAGGGGTTCCATAAACTTGAGCAGGTACCACGAATCCTTTCTGGCATGACCCTCCAGCCTTGGGAGAGGTCTTTTAATTGGACTTGCAGGCAAAAGCAGCTGAGTTGGAAGGATTTATTACTATTATTATTCACAAATAATACCTCTCTCCTAATGCGTGCAAATCAACCTGCCTGTTTATTGAATGAATATTGTGAAGCGTGGTCAGATGAGAGGCAATGTGTGCGTGCCCTTGATAGAGGAAATGTTTCTGGCTGTATCTTTCTTTTTTTTAATAGGTGAAAACAAGCGTAAAGGGTGAGCAATGGGTGATGCTTTGTCCATCCATCCTGATGCAGCTTTCCAGGTTGGATACCCGATCTGAAGAGCCCTGGCAAAGCTGTTTTATCAAAGGCTTTCTCCTCCCCACATGCATGGAGCTCCCATGTGCTCTGTGTTTGTCCATTCAGCCACAACAAAGGAAGCTTCCATCAGGTGAGAAAAGCAGTGTGGAGGGGAGAGTGAATTAGGCCACTCTGATGCGTAGGAAGGGAAATTGATCAGCTGGGGGAGAGACACTGGTAGAGGACCTGTAGCACCCTAAGTACCGGAGAAAAGCACTGCACATTTTTCTTTGTTGATTGTTCTTTGCTTCAAACAATGGAAAGGGAACCAGAGGATTCACTAAGGAGGGCACAAAGACGGCACGGCTATCCAGAAAATGGCTCAGCACCTCAGACACACCCACCTCATGTCTCTGCTGATGTCTAGAGTTGCACAGATCAGCAGCAAACTCAGCTGCACTCCCATGTCTGCCACCTCCCTGGCGGCTCTAGGACAGATGTCACTGTCGTCTAAGGAGCTGTTGTCATGCAGAAATCAGATGACAGAAGCCAGTGCAGAGCGCATCTATTAACTCCAGGCTAACTGGAGAATACGAGACTTACATTTTTGGTCCCAGTACAGAAGCAGCAAGACTGCCAGTCCCCACAGCTGGAATCTGTGCTTTGTTTACCTTGGGTCCTTCTCTTCCACTTCTTACCTGATGGGAAGTTTTCTTCCTGGCTAATGTCTGACCTGTGCAGTTGGGACAATGACCTGTTTCTGTGGCCTCTCAGGCTAATGTCACCTCGGAGCAGGTTACAAGCTGAAGGAGAGTAAGGCTGGGAAAGAAGATGGGGAAGGACAGTCCTGCTGGTGGCCAGGGAAGCCAGGGGTCCCTGGGGCCAGCTGGGGAGTCAAGGATGGCTCGTCCACGCAGGCAGTTACTCATTTCCACTGACACCTGCCCGCGCAGGTTCTGGGCCTAAAGGGCCTCAGAACAAAGCTGCCAATAGAGGCAGGGGGAGTGGAAGGTGACAGTGAACTTGTGGCACCAGTTTTTGGGGGACAGGCAGCAGCATGCCTGTACACAGCACTGCTGCAAGGCCCAGACAGAGGCCCTTTGGAGTCAAGAGTCCAGGATCACTAGGAATCGTGGCCACCCTTCAGTGACAGACCATGGATTCATGTTCCCAGCAACACTATGCTCTGTTAAGAGGCTGCATCGCTGACTCAGGACTCCTGACTCCAAAGGACCTCTGTCTGGGCCTTGCAGCACTCAGCAGGAAAAGCTGGCATCCACCTTATGACCGGGACTTCTCTTGACACGTGGGGTCCCTGAAGGGGACATGGTACCACCTGTGTGCAAAGCCACAGCCTTGGACATTTAAAGTGTGTGAGCTAGACAAGGCCCAGTGTGAGGTGAGAGTTTGGGATGTGATGACCGTGGCACTGTGCCATTTTCCCATTGTGAAAGGCTCTGGGGCCCAAGCTTGTCATATCTCCCATAGCTTCAAGAAAATCCCGACATTTTCATCTTGGTTTAAAACCCTTCAAATGTTCACACAGTGGCAACAAATCTCATTTGAAAAAGCATCATGTGGGTGAACAGATCTCTTCAGCAGGGTGTGTGGATCCAGGGGATTGTGTACAGTGTCTGCCCTACGCTTGTGAGAACACTGAGCTCACTGAGGTCGAGGAGGGCCAGCCCTGCTCATGCTAAACTGTGCCCTGATTCCTTCTGCAGGGTCTGAGCTCCTTTGGGGCTCCCAGCTCCCTGGATACCATTGTGGGCACTGAAGTCTTCAGGCACAGCAATAATCAGAGGGGAAGTAAACTGAGAATGAAGACACTTTTTCTGTTCTGTTTCACAGAGTTCAACACTTGCCCAACATGTGAGCTTTCTATGCCACATCGTCCTGTGGGCAGCTACTCCAAAGCACGCAGGAGAATCCTTCAGGCTCTGAACTTCCTGCTTGGCTGACTACATCAGGCCCAGCAGGATAACCTTTCAATACACTTAAAGTTAATTGATTAGGGATCTTAATCACATCTGACAAGTCCTACATTCTTTTCCAGAAAATATAACCTAACCACAAGAGTGAAAACCATCATTTCACAGTCCCACCCACAGTCAGAGGGAGAAGATTACCTACATGTGTACATTAAGGCTGTGAATCTTGGGGGCCATGTCACGGTCTGCTGTTCTTAATAAGTAAAGCTCCTTTTCTTGATGATTGTGTGTGTGTGTGTATGTGTGTGTGCCCATACATGTTCACAAGCATGATCTATCACTGTGCTACTCTCTGACCTTCCTTTGTGAACTATCCATTAAACTAAAGTCATATCCCATGATTTCTTTTTACCTGCTTTTGACATGGAACATGCTCCAGGTGAATCTCAAAGATTAGCTTGCATTGTAGTAACTGTTTCCTTTTCTGTTGGAAGAAGCACGCAGATGAATAGTGCATAACTCTGGAACACAGCAGGGGCTTCTTCATTCAGTCATTTACCAGTGGTTCCATCTGGGACAGGTGAAATTTAAAGGCCATGAAAGATTCAGGAACACCAGACATGAGAGCGTTCTGCCGGGTTGTATTGGTCCAGATCACTGAGCTCTGGTTTTGCACTAGCAGAGATTAGGGTTGATCCTCAACATTACTGCTGTTGGGGCTATGTTAGGTTAATGGCAGTGGAGGATTCTCAGCAGTGTGCTAAAATACTTTCCCTCTTCTGTGGTTACACAGAGGGAGATGCATACTTGCACCCAGGCAAAGGCCTGTTCTCTTAATTCCTCATGAGAGCTTCAGATCAAGGACACCAAGTCAGGTGGGTGAAGAAGGAACACAGCACTGTCAGTCTATGGCAAAATGTCCTCTTCTTAGGGCTGTGAGCTCACATACATTAAGGGACAATCAATCTGTCAGCAGCCAATTTTCTCCCCCCAAACACAGGCGCTCATTTTTTAAGAATTAAACAAGTCTGGGACTTGCTTCTCTGTTGTTTAACAACAGAAGAGGCCAAAGCCTTGCTTAAGTCTTTTGCCAATTTATAAGGAACATTGATCTTTCAATACTCTTGTTTCTAAAAGGAAGTGCTGAGGATTTAGGAGGCGCATCCCTCTAAAATCCCTAGGCTGACACGAAGACCTTTAACAGTGAAAAGAAAACTTTGAAATTCTTTGAGAAATTCTTGCTAACTTCCTAAGGAAAGAATCATTTTGAGAACCTTTAGAAATCCCGATTGTGATCCCCTTTCCTGAGTGTTTTGGACAAGCCAAATGATAGGCTATTTCTTGCTGATCAAGAAAATGTCAAGATTGAAAAAAACAAATGAATTTGTAAACACACATAAAAAACAGTCAGAAGTACAACAAAAGTCTCGGTTTTTTCCCAAACATTCATCTCATTTTCTGTCTTGAGGAGCCTTCAACCAAGTCTAGTGTTTAGAGCTGATGCTAAATCCTCACGGAGCTCATTCTGATGTGGATGATACCAGAGGACCTCTGCATGGACTGGGTCTTTTCAAGGCACATGTTCATTGTTTCGCTGTGCTCCCTGTGCTTATATATTCTACATAAAGGCTCAAAAACATAAACATGCAGAAGGAATATTTAATCATTTGGAGAGCTGTCATTTATGAGCAGGGTGCTATCTTCTGGTAGTCTACACTGAGCCACGTTACCAAAGTTGTGCCCCTTCTAGGTAAATCAGGCATGTGTGTGGTACGGCAGGCTTCACCCTGAGCTTGTCCTGACTTAGCTCTCCACATCTGTGAAAGGGTGGGAGCTGCATCTGACTTTCAGTTTTCAAACTCTACTTCTTAGGCACTTAGGGTTCTAGGGAGGTACTGAAGTCCCATGTCAGGGAAGGGCAAAAGGGGTGAATGGAAGGTTTTGCTCAGCAACGCCCCCCCCCCCCAAAGAGTTTATATCCTGCTCTCCTGGTATTGGGTACCTATATGACTTAGTTGACTAACAGAAATGACAGTGTACCAGTTCTGAGCAAAGACTTTAAAATGTATCTCTTGTTTCCAGTTTAACCTCTCCACTGAGAGCATCAAGTCTCAGGTTAAAGTTGCTCTTTCACGTGGACCCTAGGTCTATGGTGTAACCTGGAACAGGGCCATGGTGACCATCCCATGAACCTGTGAGTGAGACACAACTTTTGTGCTCATAATCTGCTTAGCTTTTGGGTTTTTTTATTATCATTATTGTTACACAGCATGATTGCAGCAAAAGCTGACTGATACAATGTGCAAAGAGCTGTCTGTGAGGTCCCTGCCTCTATCAGTACCACTTTAGTCCTTTCTATTTTACATTCCAGCTTCTCCTTCACACTTTATATGGATAAAATAATTCTGCTGCTCAATACTTGCCCCAATATCATTCACATTAGGTTACTTTTTAAAAAGACTTATTTTAATAGTTTGCTATTTCTTAACATATTCATGTCTCGTTATGCTGTCTTTCATTTCTACTTCTGGAAATGAGCAATACAATTAAATCCAGATTTCAGAAAATTTCACTTCAGAAAGTAAAAACTGTTATAATTTGAACTAAAATCATCTACCTCTAAATAATTATATATTACTGTCAATCTTCAGAAAATATATTGGCAAAATTAATATATCATCTCAGCTAGGTATTGCATGGTAGATTACTTTTAAAAAGTTTTCTTTTAGCTCTTGTATTTTAAAAGTTAGCAGGCCATCATTTGGCTGAAAAAAGAGTTTTCTAGAGACTTGGGAGCGGAACTAGGGCATAGAGCCATGCTAAGGCTGCTCACTGTCAGTGTGTGAGAAGCTGGCTGCCCCAGCTGTGAGCCCTTCCTTGCCCCTGCAGTGTGAGGTGGTCCTGGGCACAGGCCCATGAGTGAGCACATTTAGGCACGGTGGATGTTGCCTCCCATCAACCTCCACCAGAATATTTTAACCTTTCTGTGTCCTGCTTAATCGGGGCCCTGGAAGATAACCAGCAATCACTCTAGTGAGTAAATTGAGGCCAAAGCATTAAAGGAGATGCCAGGTGAAGGTGTCAACTTTCCCAGAAATTTCATCTGCTGGGATTTTTCAATGTCTGAGTCCAAAGAGGTGAATAGTGTCAGGTGTTCCACACACCTTGGGAAGCCTGCAAAGAAATTATTTTAAAGGGCTTTTGGTCATTGTTTTTGGTAGCAATTTAAACACTATAGAGAGAATGCCTTTAAGGTTCTGGTGGCCCTTCTCAGTACCATTTCCTGTCATTTTAGAGGACACATCACATACAGCTGGCCTGAAACTGATTGCTTAAAAATACTGAAGGGCCATGACCAAAACTCCCCTGAAACAACCTCAGTCCCTTCCACAAAGAAAGGACACCTTGGGTCAGAATTTTTCATTCTTTCTATATTTCTTTCCATACCTCACTTTAGCTATCCTTTTTTAAAGCTATCTTAATTGAAAGATGTTTTGAATATACATACCTGTGCAAAATTTGTCTTAATAGATTTCATGCATTTACCAGTTAGGGGAAATTCATGTTAATTTGCTTACTCATTTTTGCTTTGAGTATTTTATATTTAATTCATAAACCAATTTTGAAAATTTAGAAATATAAGAAAATGGGCCTGTTAAAATCAAGAAGTTATGATACATTAAGTAGGAAATAAAATATGCATTAATAAGCAATTATGAAAATGAGACTGTTACTTATGAAGGCTGACAGGAGAGTGTCAAATCTAGTCATTACCAGCAACCCTACGTACCTTTACTGTTTACCAAGATACAAAGAAAACAAACTCTAGAAAATCAAAGCAGCAACAAAATGGCCATGAGAAAAGACAATAAAGTAATTAATGAAGGCAAAATTGGAAATAAACAAATCAGGAAAAGGATAACACATGTCATAGGAAGAGATTATATAAAATGGAATTAATTCCTCCAGAGCATTAAAAAATATGGATGTCTGCCCAGTTAGGAAGTAAATCTAAATTCAATACCAATTCCTAGTAAACAGCAACCAAAGGAAAATTATGGTAAATTTATAACATTCATATATGTTCACTATAGTTTTATGGAATTCACGAATATATTAAAAGGACATTGTGTCCAAGCAAGGAATAAAATACAAGTCTTTTAGATAACCTATTAATAAAGATGTAATAATAGGTAATATGAGGGAAATAATCGTTGCAAGACTTTCACAAAATAGTTTTTAACTTTTTATGGATGAACCTAGAGTGACTTATGCTGAGTTATAAAAGCCAATCAGAAAAACAGATGCGCTACTGTATGGTCTCTTTTAAGAGGAATTCAGAGTGAGCAAATTATTAGAGGCAGGAAGTAGAACAGAGATCACCAAAGGCCAAGAAAGGGAAAACAAAATTATTGTTTCATGGGTGCGGAATTTCGGTTTTGTAATATGGAAAGTTGTGCAAACGGGCCACGCAGCCCTGAGAATGTGCTTAACGCTGTAAACTGCATACTTGAAAATGGGCCAGTTAGTAAATTTTATGTTATGTGATTCTTTCCCTTTTAAAAACAGAAGGATAAATCAGAATCCCAGTTTTTATGCATGTATTTGAAACTAAGTATGTCCATCAGTTTTGGACTCAAATCTATATAAAATGCAAAAATAAGTACAACTAATTAATTTGCCCTAAAAATCTTAACAAATAAGATATTGAGCTAGTGGTTTGTCTTACATTCAATGTTTTTCCAGAAAACAACAACAAAAAAATGATAGTGAAATTTTTCTAGTAGAAATTTTCTGTTTTTAAATGATGGTGAAGTATTAATGTCTGTTTTACTAACAGTATCCATTTATTACTTTCATTGAAGGATACTTGCTTCTCAAGTACATTCAAAAATTCAAAAATCAAAACTAAAAGTCTGTGGCACACACCTGCAGTCCCATCACTCTGAGAGGCTGAAGCAGGAGAACTGTAAATTCAACCCACTATGGGTAATTTAAAAATTGAGCAAGACCTTGATTCTATGTAAAATTTTTAAAACATAAGGCTTGAGATGTAGCTTAGTGAGAAGGTCCTGGGTTCAACCCCCAAGACAACAAAAACATGCAACGTTTAAATGATTAAAAATCTTTAACCATCCCCTAGATCCTGGAATAGCAGTGTGTTGTTTTTAAACATGTTGACTTTTCTCTCTGCTTATTAATTCTCCACTAGTAACTATACTGTATGGATTCTTCCTGCCTCTTTTGTATTTTTGTCTACTTTGTCTATGTTTGCCTACAGTGCAGTTAGAATACTTTGGAACTCACTATAATTACACTTCTATACTTTCTTTCTCCAAACAGTTTTTCCAGTTTTTAACCAGTATCACTGTTTTGAAAAGGTCCGGCACTGTCTCTTCCTCCGCTGTCAGATGTCTGCACCAGCCTGAGATGACCTTCTTTGTGTGTTGGCGGAGACAGGAAGGCCTGGGGATGTTTGGTAACTGCACAGAAGCACCAAGGACTCCTGACCACAGTGACACTGGGCTTGAGCACTGGGGGTAGAGGGGCACCAGCAGCCTGCCACGCAAAACGAGGCCACTCAGTAAGGGTCTCTCACATGAGCCCTAAGCAAATAGAGTCAATAATGGTGGCTCTTCTCTTTCTTCATTCAAGAATAAACAGCAGGGGGCTGGGGATTTAGCTCAGCGGCATAAGCACCTGCCTTGTAAGCAGGCAGTCGTGAGTTCGATCCCCGGTACCGATAAAAAGGAAAAAGACAAAAAAAAAAAAAAAAAAAAAAAAAAAAGAATAAACAGAAAAAAAAATCAGGTGTTGGTGTAGAAGAGTCCACAGCAGCCAGTTCCTGATAGTTCCTGATGGTGACTAGTCTCTCTCTCTCTCTCTCTCTCTCTCTCTCTCTCTTTCTCTCTCTCTCTCTTTCTCTCTCTCTCTCTCTCTGTCTCTCTCTCTGACCTCTCATCTTCAACATAACAGACTGAACAGTCCACATACTGGGAAATATAGAAGGGTGTTGTTTCCACAGTCTGGACCCTTGGAAGGATTTCTTTTAGAGCTCTTCCTCCAACCCTTTAAGGAGGGTTGGAGGGTTGGAGGGTTGGAGGGTTCCAATCAGATTGTGGTGCAAAGGATAAGACGCTGACAGTATCCCCATCAGGACCACCCAACACCTCCCTTGAAAAGGGGAGGGAGGGTCTTGCTGTGGTAGCTGCGCCCTGTCCATCATGGCCAGATCAAGGGCACCAGTAGCCGTGGGGAGTGAACCACTGTTGACAAACTCAGCTTTTGACCATGGTCCTGCTCCTGGACTCCCAGAAGTGGATGTGGTGTATAAAATAAGGAAAAGGCACACTGCCCCAGAAAGAACGAAAGAGTCAGGGCCAAGCTTCCGCTCGTTTGAAGCCACTCTTCCAAAAGTATGAAAGAATGGCTGGAACAGTTTCTACTGTGCTGTATGCGGCTCTGCTAGCGCCCCCTACTGAGCCTTTTCCTCCTTTGTCTCCTTTAAGTAAGGTTTGTGCTTCAAGGTGTCAAGTTCCCGTTTTTTAAGGGTATTTGTCTTTGTAATTCGGGAAATAGATTTATTCTTTTGTGACCCCAGATACCCTTCCTATGTTTATTCATTTTGTTTTCTTCAATTTCAATCTCCTGATCTTTGTTGGGAGCCAAGTGGCTTTTTATTTCTATGGAAATAAATGATCTTTTTACCCATGGAAACCTTAGTCATCCTGCCTCCTCCTTTAAAAACTCTCTTCTGTTGAGAAAGTGCCAAAATCAAGGGTGCACGCTGCTCGATTGTTCCTCTAGGGAACACTCTCAGGACTACTTTGTGAAACCATCATTTCTTTAAATTGAAGCATGATACTTTGCAGGCTGCGATTGTAAGTACAATGAAGGCCTAATGGATCACTAACCACATGGCACAGCCCTCTCTGAGATTTCCTCTACAGTGGTATTGAAGCCAATGAATGAGTTTCATCCTTCAGTGGCAATGGGGAGAAGCAGAGCTGAGTGGACTTTTAGATAAATATTAACAGCAACCGCTCAGACATGAAAGGCAAGAAATAAAACTCAAGTTCTTGTCTCTGCTAACACTTACATTATGTCCAATTAAAAATCCATTCTCATTTTTAAAGTGAATACATTAATCTCCTAAGGAATGAAAGGAGGTGTCATGAACGTAGGGAGGGGAATGATTCACTGCTCACTTCCCTTAACCCTGAAGAGCTGGATTCAGAAAATCAGTCAGTCATTTCCTGGGTGTCCCTAAAGCAATGCCACGATGGTGGAGACACCTCAGAGACACCCCCAGGGTGAGATTGTTTCCACTTAATTGTGGGTGGAGCCTATGACTCCCCTAACCAATGGAGTACTTACAAGTGAGATGTTTTTCATGTCATAATACCGTATATGTATCAAAAATACAAAGAAATTTAAAATAGCAAAGCAAATTTATTTTCAGAAACCCCACTACTATTAATCTGCTTCAAAATAACCCCCCTGCTTCAAACAAAATTATCTCCCTGTTCTTGTCGTTGTCTGAAGAAATTTTGGAAGTCCTCTTTTGTGAGTGTCTATAAAAGGTGTCAGAAAACTATGGTGAGTGCTGTTACCAAGTGCCACCCAGGGGAATTCATAAAAACATGACAGTGTGTCCTCATCCTCCTTATTCACCAGATTTGGTGCTGGGGGACGTCTGGCCCTTCTCCAAAACTGAAATGACCATGAAAGGTAAATATTTTGAACTGATTCAGGACACTGAGGTAGCCGTGACAGCACAACTGAAGTTACTCAACAAAGAGGACTTCCAGAACAGCTTTAGAAAGTGACAAGAACAATAGGACAATATGTTCAAAGTCAGAGTATTTTGAGGGTGATAATAGCAAGGGGACTTATATTGTAATTTTGTAAAACTTAAGCATTTGCCATCACTGCTGAGACCACCGCGCATGCAGTCAACCTTCCAGGGCTTTGGGTTTCACATTTATAAATTCAACTGCAGACTAAAACCGCTTAGGGGAAAATGTGTCTGTATTCAGGGTCTTCTTGTTATTACTATCTATGCAATGCAGTAGAACAACTGTGTACCTGGAAATCATTATAGTTTAAAGTATATAGGAGACTGCACAGAGGTGAATGTCAATTTATACAAGGGGCTTAACATTCACAGATTTTGGTACCCTGGTGTGTCACGTCCTGACTCAGCCCCTCACAGACCCTGAGGCGGACTGTATATGAGATGCTCTCTTTCATAGCCTCCAATAATAAACTGCCCTAGTAGGAAAAGGACTATGGAGAGCCACACAGCAGGGCGCTCCAAGCTGCCTGCAGAGTGTGAGACCCACAGCTGAAAGCCAGCCAGCAAACAGGGATGCAGCCCTGAAGCTCTGCTAACAACTCCAGATCCCCAGCTGGGTCTGACTGGCACTGATTGCCACCTGAAGACACCCTAAGAGGAGCATTCAATTAAGCTGCATCTGAGTTTCCAACCTACAGGAAGCTGTGAGATAATAAATGTGCATTCCTTTAGGCTTCCGGGCTTGTGGTCACTTGTTATGTGGCAATGGAAAACCAGGCAGCTGTGGAATATGTGACAAAGAGAGAGAAAGTGTGTCTACCGGAGTTCCTATACAGAGAGTCCAAGAGCATCATGAGCTGCTTAGGTCGGGGCAGGCTTTCCAACAGCTGGGGTGGATGGAAGAAAGCTATCATCTCCAAAAAAGGTGTTCATCTATTTCACGATCATCCCTCTGAGAACCCCTCCCTGACTTGTTTCCCAGATGGGAGCCTTCCCAGTGCAGTAACCTTTTCTGCTGGGAAGTTGGAGAAGATGCTAAGCACTTTTTTCACCTGCACAAATCAAAAATAGTTTAATTATAAAGTACTGGGCCTGGGTTTCTTTTTCTTTTTTTCCTTTTTTCTCTCTCTTTTTTCCCCTCATTTTCTCCATTCTTTAGTTTCTAAAAAAAATTTAAAACAAAAAAAGAATAAAAATGATGATACAGAATTTCAAAATAATAGGAGATTAACAATGGTTAAAATACTGCATATTTTTATTTGCAAAGTAGTTGCTCACATTACAAGATGAAGGCCTGGAAGAATGATAAAACAATGAAAGCACAGACTGTTCAGGCTGGTTTTCCTGAAGACGCAGTGTGTCTTTCTCCAGATAAGGCTGCAATGTGTGCTTGTAACAACCACCTGCTCTTAGCCTGTTGCTATGGTTTGGGTATGTTGGTATGGTTTGGGTACCCCAAAAGTCCAGGGTGGCAGTATTAGGAAGTGCTAGGGCCTGTAGGAGGTTGGGAGTAGAGAGAAGTCTTGAATCATGGAGGTCTGCACTGACATGGGGCTGTAGGCCCTGTTGGTCCTCTCTCGCTTCTCCACTTGGAGATGGGAGCTTTTTGCTGTGACACACGTTTCTTGCCATTGCCATCTGCTCCCGTCCCAAATCGAGCTGATGCAGGTGCCATTCCTTTGAACCTCTAACACCTAGAGCAAAGAAAACGTCTCTTCACAGCTTAACTGCCCCAAGAACTTCATCCTAGTGGTCTGCAGATGACCCACACATCTTTCTAGGGTGAGGTAACATCTAATGAAACATAATGGGCACAACTTCCAAGAGCAACTCCTCGCCAATCTGGAATTCCCATTGCACTAACTTCTATGCCTTTATTCTGAATTGCAAATGAAAGTCACTGTCTCTACATTCTCTGTGAATCCCACTGCAATATCTAGAGGCAACCATTATTGAAGAGGAGGGTGTATATATGTGTTTGTATGTGTGTGTGTGTGTGTGTGTGAGTGTGTACACTCAAGGAGGGACTGTATTTATAGAACTGAGATCACTACTTATATTTATTACTCTGCATCTTCTTAATCACTAAATAAAATGTCTCACTGCCAATTCCTATAAATCTACCTCTTTATATTTAACAGTGGCTGAGTAATGCACTTCAGGAATGTATCAATATTTATACAACATCTTTATTGAACATTTAGAATCCCCCCAATTTTTCTTCAATACAGAGAGGAAGAAACTTTCTGTTTTATCACACGTATTCAAATGTTTCTTTAGGACGAAGTCTTTAATGGAATGGCAAGGCAAAAAGTACACAATGGTTTCAAATGTTGACAGGTGAGAGCTAAGCTGTCTAAAGACAACCCCCGCACACATTCGCTTCTTAAAGGGAAAGGGGGCTTCATTCTTATGAGCTTGACTGTGTTGAATATCGTCAGTGTTTCTAAAATTGGACATGGGTAAAAATTAAATAAGCAAGTTGGTTTCTTTGCCCTTGGCCTTTTTTTCTCAAGTTTCTTAACTGGGATGGACTCTCCTCTCCTGTCCCAAGAGAGGAGATGGTATATCATTAACATGTGTAAAATGTACATTATTCTGAGAAATAAATTCTGTTTACAATATCTTTTAGTTAGCCACTGGATTTGATCAGATAGCATTTTATTATATATAGAGAGACTGGCTTGTGATCTTCATTTTTAAGTCATTTCTAGAGATCGTTTGAGATCTAGCACAGTAAATTGGAAAATTTGCCTTTTTTCCCTGTATGCTCTGAAACATATTTTATAACATAGGATATTTCTGTTTCTACAAAATGTTTTAGAACTTGCTGGCCAAACCTTCTCATCTATGTGTCTTGGGGGCTGAACATGTAAAGTACAGACAGTTTTTATCTTCTAATTATGGATAAAGTTAGCTAAAAATATGAAATTAAACAGATTCTTTGACAGCCTTCCGACACATGCCAGGCATGAGCTTATAGTCCAAGCTTGAGTGAGTACAAGGTCTTACAGGAGAAATTTTAAGAGGGAGCAACAGAGGGGTCCAGAGAGAAGTCACTGCACTGGTCTGGTGCAAAGCTTGTTGGGTGATGTTAATTTATCTTCTTTGAATCACAGGGATACTTTCGGAGTTCTGTTCCCCTGGGCTATTCAACTCAACTCCTCAGCGAGATGTTCAGATTTTGGAGCATGGTGTTCTGTGTCCTCAAAAACCTCTCTTCTCAGAGGACGAACAAGCCATAGTATACTTTAAATTTGCAAATATGCAAACAGTTTAGCAGAAAGTCTGGTTCAAAAGAGCCGATTTCCTTCTCCTAGGTCCAAAAAGCCTTTCATTTCACCTAAATGCATTTACATTTGTACAGAAGGAAAGGTACCAGGTAGTGGCGTTCTTTAGTTAGTAGCTGCAAATGATTGCCAGCTGTGTGAACTTCAGGTATAATCAGGACACCATGGTCTCAGCTTAATCTGGTTGTAAACAATAGGAATATTGCAAAAGTTCGGCAAATCCAGTCTGTCAAAGCTCATCTTTAGAGAGGCTGGCTTTCAATCAGCTTCCACAGATGGACCTAAAACTCTTTTTATCCTAAGATTTGGCAATTTATAAGCTCACAATGTGAAGAGGTGAGCGAGTCAGCCTAACCCAGGAGCTGCTGGAGCACTGAGTGAAATGTCTACTAGTAGGAATTTCAGTGCTGGCACAAATTCGGAGCAGTTCTCATTCTAGCAAACAAAAATTACTTTGTTTTACTTTCACAGATCATTTCATACTTTCTTTCCGTGTTTTGGCATAATTCACTGGTTCTCATGTAAGGTGAGCTTTACTTTCTACTTTAATTCAATAACTCAGAGAACCATTGTTTTAAGGATGGTTGGATTAAAATCAGCACATGCAGCCTCCAAGATGCCAAACATCTGTTGAATGTGAACATATTTCAGATGGACTTAATAGAGCTTGATGTTTGATATTGCATGGGAACAGATGCTCTGTGATCAGAATCCTTCCATAAGAACTAGAGAGAGCCATAGCACCACATGTTGTCCGTGGTCTTCCACGGGAAATAATGTGTGTGATAAATAGTACACACATCTAGTTATCCATCAATGGCTGCTCTCCCATAGCAATAGAATGCCAGTTTTGGCTCCAGTGACAAATGTGATGTATGGAGTTAGCTTTTAAAGTTTTATTAGTATATGTTTGCAGTAATGCTTGCATTCATTGTGGAGAGCTGGTATATGTACAAAACACTTCGATTCTTTTTATATCTCTTTACTCCTCCCTCCATCTCTTGGTTCTCTTCCCACTTGCAAATGATCTATCTCCCTGTTTCCTATTTTGTCTTTTATTTTACTTGTTAGTTTGTTTATATGTTGGATTTTTCATATAAGAGAAACCATGTGATATTTAAACTTGTGTGGTTAATTTCATTTAACGTTATGCATCCATTTTTCTACAAATGACTCAAGTTTATCCTTGTCTATAACAGAGTACTATGTCATTGTGTATAAATACCACATTTTCTTTATCAATTCATCTGTTGATGGATGTAAAGCTTGCTTCCAA